GCCATAAGAAAGTGAGCGTGTGCCAGCTCTGGTTTAGTCCTTGGAATGTCCGCTGGATGGCGGTGCTTCTATATGCGGAATATATGATGAAAAGATGCGAGATGGTGGTACTTGGAGTGTTGACCAGATAGACGAACGGACACACAAACAGATGCATGGACGGACGCACGGATGGCTGCACGCACGGACGCAGGGGCGGATGCATGGAATAACGCAGGGACGGGCGCACAGATGAACGTGCAGACGCCCGAATAGACGCACGCACGGACGGGCGGATGGACGCACGGGCGGCCACACAGACGCACGCATGGCCGGACGGAAGCAATAACGAATGGAAAGACGTATGCATGGCCCCACTCTCCATCATTCACCCGGGGATACGCTGCCATTTTATTTAACTTCGTCGACTCCCGCAAAAGAGGAAGGAAGCGCACGTGTTCAGAGCATTTCTGAAGTCACCGGAGAAGTGTATACATGCCGCCGGCGCCACCGGACACTGCGCAAACAGAACAATCTTGCCGAGCAAGCTCCTACAACTCCTAAAGTGGGGTTTAAATGTATGGTGTCAATCGCTAGCGCTAACAATCGGATAGACAGAGCAAGAAAAAGGGAGCAGGCGGTAAGAGCACAGGCAATCAACTAGTTTTATTTATTTGGTCACTGCATGTACCATATGCATCTTGCACACGTACCAATAAAAGATAAAGACGTGGGCAGGGGGGGGGGGGGGAACAGAAAGGCGAACACACATGTCGAGATTACCTCACGTCGACAAAAAAATGCGTGGCGGCAGGCATACCTATGTATACATGTAACCACGTACATTTAGTGGTGGCTCTGTAGGTCATTGATCATTATTAGGCAACCATTTCCACGACCACAGTGCAAGGCCAGTTTCACAATGTGGCGGACGGCTCTTTGCTGCTGCCTTTTCACCGACCGCGACTCCAAACGACGCCGACGGTGATCGCAGAGCAGCGACGACCTCATTACATCCGGCCGTGGTCTCAATTAGAGTACTCCGCGACTCTCCGAGCTCATTAACAGTCATTATTCAAACGCACACCGAACTCAGCGAGCAGAAAGTGTCCGTGGCAACTGCGGGTGCCGCTTCAATACCGTGCTTTAAACTAATTTACATTAATGAACGAAGACAATGATAAAGTTTGCGGTGCGGTTGTTTTAGGTCAGTGGAACTTTCGCCGCTTCCACCTTGTGGTTACGGTGGAAGTTGAAAAATATTCCTAAAAACCACGTGAAGTGGCCAAGCACATTATGTATGTATATATATATATATATATATATATATATATATATATATATATATATATATATATATATATATATATATATATATATATATATATATATATATATATATATATATATATATATTGTCGCGACGTCAAGACAGAGGTCGTACTTGAAGACGCTGAGAAAACAGCAGCGGGTTGGTCTTTTTATTAACCGTGTACGCGAGAGATTTCCTCGTCTTTCTCGTTGTTGCGTTCTGCATAAAAGCGTGCAGATGCGCGTATGCGCTGTCGCCTTCGTCTTTTTTGCGGGACGCACGTGACAATATATATATATATATAATATATATATATATATATATATATATATATATATATATATATATATATTCACATCCTCATATATGTACCTTCACAGTCCTCATTATATCTCTTCGCGAAATGATCATTGTTTCAAGATTTAAAGTACCGTACCAGATCTAACTTGTATGCTAATTCGTTTTTTGTTCGTTCCATAGAGAATGGAATCACTTATCAAATGAACAAGTGTGCTGTATTAATGAAGATGTGTTTTTCTCGACATTGTAACCCCCTGCTGCAGCGCCTTCGGGCTAAGCGGGGTAATCATAGAATAAAAAAATGAAGAATATATATATATATTATATATATAATATATATATATATATATATATATATATATATATATATATATATTATATATATATAATATATATATATATATATATATGAGACAGAATTACTGTCTGTTAGATCTCATTAATATTGTGTCAAAACACGGAAAAACGAACCTAGGTATACACTTTTTTCCCTTATATATATATATATATATATATATATATATATATATATATATATATATATGAGATTTAACAGACAGTAATGCCAAGGAATGTACAGGGGAAGTTATTAGAACCAATGGAATGTAAATAAGAAGAAAGAAAAGTGGATGAAAAAATAACCAGCTGTGAGCTCACGGCTGGTTATTTTTTCATCCACTTTTCTTTCTTCTTATTTACATTCCATTGGTTCTAATAACTTCCCCTGTACATTCCTTGGCATTACTGTCTGTTAGATCTCATTAATATTGTGTTAAAACACGGAAAAACGAGCCCTTAGGTATACACTTCTTTTTCCTATATATATACGATTATTGACGTTATTACAGGGGGCCACTCTTTCCCAATAGAAATATTGGTTTCTGGGTAAATAGTTGAAGATTCGTAATATTAATCATAATAATTGTTGGGGTTTACCATCACACAACCACGATATGATTGATATGTCCGGCTTAACGTCCAGAGACCACCACATAATTATGAGAGATGCCGTAGTGCAGGACTCCGTAAATTTCAATCACCTCGAGTTCTGCACCCAAATCTGAGCACACGGGCCTACAGCATTTTCGTCTCCATCGAAAACGCAGCCGCCGAAGCCAAGATTCTATCCCGCGACCTGCGGTCAGCAACCGAGCACCTTAGCCACTAGACCACCATGGCGGGGCTACAATACGATTGCGATGGAGTGCCATAGCGCAGGGGTCCGGAAACTTTCATCACATGGTGAACACGGTCTTTAAGAATGTCTTGCCTCAATCGCAAGTGTGGCCGCCGATGCCAAGTTAGAGGTCCATTGTAATGGACCGAAGTATTACGACTAGCTGAGCCGCAATGTGCAAGTCCCTGGCGAATGTTGGTTGGACGTTCATGTTTTCGACTTCACACCAGGGACACAAGCGTGTGTCTCCATTGTTAAGTCAACTGTCTAAAACAGTGTAGAGTTCGACATCACAAGAAAGATCAACGGCCAAAGTCTTTACCGCGTAGCTTCCTACCCATAGTTGGTGGACGTGTCCGGTTAGTTTTCCACCTGGCCTGGTTCCTGTAGCCAGGTCACCAGTCAGTGTCTAATCTATGGTCTGATTAGTGCATGTAATCTGTATGTGTTCACTATTTCTTTGTGTTCGTGTATGCCCCGTATGCGTTTAGGTTATTGTACATATGCACTCCATTTTAACGCTGTAAACAAACTATGTAAATTACAGGTATCTTGATACCTCTTGTATATGTTTGCTAACATTTTCATCAAGTACTAAAATTTTTGTACATATATTATCATCTTGTACACCACGCTTATTGTGATTATATATATATATATATATAGTGTATGTTGTAATTAGTAACATGTGTTAGGGATAACCTACGGACTTGGATACTTTTGTTTCTTTGTTTGTTATTGTGCTTGTTGTAAGGACACTGGTTCCATGGGTTTGTAGCGTCCCACGATAGAATAAATTTTTTCTAAACACAACTTTTCAGACCGTTGTCGTGTATGTCTATAGCTTATTTGCATTTCTTCCAGCAAATAGACTTATCTTAGCGATCCTCACTATAATCGATAACACGTTCGTCGTTCACTAGTAGTGCACTCGTTGATGACTGAATAGATTAGTGTTGAAACCAAACATACGCTTGCGGAGTCAAGTAATGCAGTAATGGGCTGGCAAATGAGCATTCAACCGAATACAGACTACCCTGGCGGCGCCGTTAAAAAAAAATCACAACATATCCACGGAGTGAATGATGATGAGTGGGGCGAAGCGTTCATCAGCCCGTCCGTGCTTCCGTCCATCCGTTCGTTCTTGCTTGCTTCCGCCAGCACGACCATCCGTGCGTCCGTTCATGCGTCCGTTCATGAGTTCGTTCATGAGTCCGTTCGTCTATCTGTCTGTTCGTGCGTCCATACGTCCATACGTCCGCGTTTCTATCCACCCGTCTGCTAGACTGTCTGTTCGTCCGTTCGTCCGTGCATCCATCTAGTGAAAACTCCAAGTACCGCCATCTGCCATCTCGCATCCCCTTTGGCACATACCTGCTCTAGAACGGGTATGTGCTACGTACTACTATACATACAGAAAAGGAATGGACAGACCCATGCCTCAAGGAGCTTGGTCCCTAAAAGTTGTTGCGCGCTTTTCTTCACGGTAGCGCATATTTTCGCTGAGCAAAACAACCATGTCCATTTTTTTTTCAGCCTCTCTTCTTGTTTCAGTGATGTTGCTTATTACGATTAAAATATTTTGAACGAGAAAGAAAGCTTTAAGATTGCGCTAATTCTCGGGCTCATTTTGTGATAACGATTTTGTTCGGTAGCTTGATATGGTCTGGCAACTCTGGTAAGCGCTGTTGGATTAAGCATACATTCAAATTCTCCGCGGTAAGATTCCTATTGTCGTGGGCGGAGTGTCGTTTTTTTCTGTTTTCTAGTAGGTAACCTGCCAATTACAACTTGACCTCTTTATGACGTCAAGTTCTAACTATTGTCAATGAAGGGACGTCAACATACGTGTTTTAAGCGTGTTGTCAAGCCATATTTGTTGTCCTATCTGCCTTCGTAGTATGAGCACAACCTCAAGCATCACGTGGTTTACGACCTTTGTATATAAAAAAGAAGAAGTGTGTTTGATAACTTTATTTTACGTGTGTTGTCAACGGTTGCCGATAGTACGACGTCATGATTTTCCCTCTCTCAGTGCTTTCGATTTGTATTGCATAATTGCTCGATATGTTCACAGCCTTGTTGAGCAGCGCTTGGGTGGTAGGGTCATTTTCAGGCAGTTAATGTGTCTCAAGCCGTACCATCCATTCACAAGTAACGTGTTGAAAATAATTTAATAATATAGAAGCTGATGGTTCGGCTGCAAAAGAAAAAAAAAACTCTGCTACTCACCCCCAGTTTCACGTTGTGAAGAGGGTCCACGCTCCCGGCGATCTCTATCTCCCCTGCAAAAAAAAATGAAAGAACACAAATTTAATACTTGCGATGCAATGCATTTCTACATGACTATATATATATATATATATATATATATATATATATATATATATATATATATATATATATATATATATATATATATATATATATATATATATAGCACACAAAGGCGTGGTGGATTAATGATATTCTTATAAATAATTTCAATTTTTTATACAAATTTTACAAATTTGGAGGAGAAAGTATTATTATATGAATTGTTGACATCAGTAAATACTGTTAACTGTAGTAAACTATGAAGTAGGCCTGATGCATCGAATAATTATTAATCTGTGGGACTTACCCTTTCAAATCATTGATATGATAATGAGAGATGTCGTAATGAAGGGCTTTAAAAGTTTGCAGCCCCTGAGGTTCTTTAACGTGCACCTAAATACAAGTACAGACGCCTCGATCACTTTTGCTTCAATCCAAAGCGTGGTCACGGCGGCAGAGATTCTATCTCGTGACCTGCTGCCACTAATAGGTCAAGGACGAAGAACAATGTTAAAAACAATGCCACAATTGATGAAAAAAGAACGTTTATTGAAATTCGTTGTTTCTGCATAAGTTATCCCCACTGCAGTGAAAGAACGCGATGAGAAATTATTTTAGCCAATTTACAACAGTTCGAGTATGTAATTTTCACACTGATTAATTTTAGTCCAGGAGCGAACACCACCGACATCATAAATACATGTTTAAGTTTTCTAAGATCTTATCAATCCTTGTTAAGCTTCCCCACCGAAACCTTCAAATAGTTTCTCTGTTTCGTATGCTGCCATATTGCGTAGCGCGTGCTATATACTTGATCATGTAAAATTCGTTCCATCTCGCTAGAACATTTGCAGGACATAAATGTTACATATCAATCACTAATAATTGCAAAGCTAGTTACACAACGCTACTCAAAGCAAAGTATTCACGTGTCTATTCGAGGCGCCTTTTCCAAATCAAGGGTATGGCGTACATGACTCATCATTAAGACTCATCAAATGGAACAATTGACCCTCGGCGGAGACCGTCACGTAGTGTAGGGACGAGCGATACAAAACAGACCATCACGTGATGACGTCACCAGGCAGAGTCATCATGATGTCACAGATCGCAAAATACTGTGACGTCATCATTGCGTCACATATTCCAGCATGGCGTCATGCTACGTAACACCACATGATGGCATTGTATAGCGTCCCTCTTTGCCAATGGCACGCGATGCCATGGCTGGGGTTTCCTGTTCTCTTACAAATCGATTCAGAGAAAAAATAGGACGGATTTAGCGTTCTAGTCGTTTTACGTGAACGCAGAACGTGCCCAATGAGTTTCACATTAAAACCTAATCGTTACTGGTCTGTGAGCCTCCCCTAATGTGGAAAACACTTCTGCGTTTAGAGCATCCAGAGCGTGGGATCGAATGTCGACTGGGACGACCGTAGTTTCGGTAGAGGGGAAAATGCGTGAGGCCCATGCGCTTATATTTAGGCACACGTGAAAGAACTCTAGGTGGCCGTAATTTCCAGAGCCCTCCACTATACGGCGTGTTTCATAATTATATCGTGGTTTTCGTACTTAAAACCCCCCAAATTATTATAATTTCTTGACTATCCAAAAAAACAGCCCGTTTAACAAATCAGACACACTGTGCACTGTTCTTCGCTGTGGTTCTTTCTTGTTTATTAGATTGTTTTCGTTCAACAGATAATCCTCTTCATTCCCCGGCGAACACTGCGGCAAAACTCGTTCGCTATCCCTCATCTGAAAAAATTATCGACCATGCGTTTTGTCTGCCTTGCTTCCGCCAGCGGACAAAATCTGCACTCATCCGATTGATGGCACATAACATTTATTACATAGGACGTTTCGTTTCGTTCAACTCTTACTCGCAATCTATCCCACAATTCTTTTTCCGCCACTGCCGTGTTCGTATTCCCCATAGCTGCCTCCCTTTGTGTTCCCGCAACAAACAACCATTCGGTGCAGCCAGCATTGCAAACATCCAACACAGTGGTATTTGTGGCAAACACGTTGGACTCCACTATTTTTTTGCCTAATCATCGTCACAGTCATTATTTTCCTCCTAGGGTCATCCGGCGATCGTCGCCAACACTGTCGCCAACGGTCCGTTTATTGTTTCTGTCCGCTCTGCGTTTTTCGAAGGGTCCTGCAAGCGCGCAAAACAAGTGAAAGCGAACGAGTGTGCTGTTGTCGTGGACCGCAATGACTTCCTCTCTTTTCTATCTGCTGCGATATAGATCTTTCGCAGTTCTTCGCGTTCTTTTTAAGCGAAAAGCTACCATCGTAAACACGCGACTGACCCCGGAAGGATGCGGGTCACCCTTCCTCCATAACTCGCGTCCCCTTCCGTCTCTTTCTTTTTTACTTCCTGCTCCATGAGTTCGCCCTTATATTGCATTCGCTTCTCTGCATTATCGAATTTTTCGCCGTCTTTAACTGCGTTTCTCGTCATTGTACGTTAATTTCTATCTATAGAAACTGAACTCGTCTCGGTCTTCCTTGTGGTACCCCCGCTTTCATGGACAAATTCCCCATTTGCCCTATTTTCTGGCTTCACTCTCTCCCCGTTGTTTTATCTGCCCCTTTTTATCTACATTTCCTTTTTCTGCCTCGCTCGACTCGTTTTCTCGACACTGTATTTTCTTTCTTTTCAACCGACTAGAACTCGCCCTGATCTCCCACTTTAATATCCCCAATTCCCTTTTTTTTCTTTCATCGGCCTTGCCTCCCATCATCCCGTTCCGCCTTCAGCTACTTATACACAAGAGTTCATTAGCATTATCTTTTACGCATGTCTCCTCTCGTGGTGTCCGTCTGCAAGTTTGCGCAGATTATTTTGATCTGTTGAATTATCATCCTTTCCCATTTTCATATGTTCCTTCATTTCTAAAATAACTGCCCTATTTTGTAGATCTCTTCTCAAACATCGTGTGCACCTGGTGAGGCGATAACTCCAACGGAGTCGAAACTTGAGATCAAAAAATCCCATTACTTTCTCCCCCACCAATTGCTTCCCTTTAGTTCATTTAGTTTGTCGTATTCCGCGTAGTTCCGTATCACTCTCTCGTTTCGGTATGCATTTTGAACGGGCTTCACTTTGTACTCCCTTATTTTTCTCCACCAGTGCAGACTCCTGACTCTCATTTCTTCGCGCCTCACTTCCTTTGTCTCCCCTATCCTACTTTTTTTTCATGTAGTAGGGTTCCCTTTCATTCATTCCCTCAGCTCAGTGTGTTCATGGCTGACGACATTTTTTTATTCTTACCGTGTGTTTTTTTTTTTTCAATTTGTTATCTCCGCGTTCATCCCTGCTTCTCTCTAGTTTCTTCGCACTTTCCTCAACCCGACTTCAGGCCTCTTTCCAAATCTTTCCTAATTCATTCGCAGCCTATTTTTATGGTCTCCATACTCTTACTGATTTTTTGCGTATATAACCTATTATTCATTATTATTCATATTTCGGCTCCCGTTAGCCAACTTCGGTCTCATTTTCCGATTTCATCCCGTAGTGCCACTTCCTACTGCATTTTACGCTTTCCCTGTGCTCCCTTTTTTGCTACGCTTACCTTTTTTCACTCTCCTAGTACTCCTTTTTTAATTTATGCGTCCTCCTCTTAATTTTTTTACCCGTTCGAGTGTTGAACTATGACTTCTCTTTTCTGCCCAGTTCCCCTCTTCGTACCGATTTAACTCTGACTGCTGCCATTTCTGCTTTCTTTCTTAAATATTAGCTTTTGTATTCCTGCCTTTAACGGCTATTCGTACAATTCAACGCCTCCCGCCACCTCACGTGGTTGTTTTCCCGATTCCCTAGGACTCCTCAATTTATTCCTTGCTCTAGCGCCGCCACCTCATCTCGTTTTTTTTCGGTTTTCCAAGCACTCCTTTCCTATTCTCCCTATACTTTTTTACTACATCCCGAATGGCAATTGACTACCATTTCACTACCACTCTCTTCGAAACTCACTACTTCAATCTTATTATTTCCCGTGGTGGCGTCATAATTTGATTCCTTGTTATCTTCATCACTGAGTCCACAATTCTGCGCACTTTTTTTTTCCAATTCTCGTCTAAAAGCCGTCCGATTGATACTTTCACTTCACGCGAATTCAGCACTCCCTTCTTTTTGATTTTCTAGGCTTTGCCTAATTCCTCCCCTTTCCCGACCTTATTTCACCAAACCTTTTTCTATTGTCTTGGCGTTGTCCAATGTATCAATCTCCATTTCATCAATTCAACACTTCTCCTTCTCTAGGATTCGTACAATTGTTTCTTTCCTCACAAGCCAGCTGTCAGCTCAACATTAGATTTTCAATCGTTGTCAAGACATCAGTCGTAATTTGCGCTCCCATGTCCTACCTGTCTCAACTCGACGCATTTTTATTACGGATTATCTAGGCGTCATCTAGCTTCCCTTTATCCCCCCTTAGTTTAGCGCTCCCTTTTTACTGCTTTTCAGGGAGTCATCTTATTCCCCACAATAATACAACACTTCCATATTACTTCACGTATAGAAATCATCAAATTTGTTTTCTTTTCCCGTCCTACCACTTTGGCCCCTTTTTTAGGTGTTCTCTGATCACCTCCCTCCCTTAAGAATGCACTCCCCTTTTACTCCATGCGTTGGGCGTCGTTTATTCCTCCCTTTCCAACGCAACGCCTTTCCTCCCTAATTTCATACATGTGCCGAAGACCCTACCTGACGACGACGGCATGCCTTCGTCATCGATGCGCAGAGTCATCGTCATCAACGCTTCCCTCGTCCATGCAGCGGGTGCCAAACTCTTACTCATTTCCTCCATCCCTTTTCCCACTTGCGTCGCCATATCTCCAGGCTTATCGATCGATCACTCTGCTCGCTGACCGTGCGTGCTGACCGGAAGGCCGGCTTGGGTCCTTCAAAGAAGACACCACGCTTTAGCCCGGACCGAGTGCGCGAGAGGACGCCGCC